TGCATTAATACGCACAAAGGGTTGTACAAATTCAACAGACTACCATTTGGAGTAAAAGTTGCACCTGCAATTTTTCAGCAAACGATGGACACAATGCTCACGGGCCAGAATTTTGTGACTGCTTATCTGGATGATATTCTAATTAAGAGTGACAATGTTGAAGAGCACACATCACACATAAAAGAAGTTTTCAGAAGACTGCAGGACTTTGGGTTCAAAGTAAAAGAAGAAAAGTGTAATTTTTTCCTAAATGAAATTAAAAATACTAACTCCCCCCAAAAAGGGATCTAAGTGGGGGGTTATGGGGTCCACCCCTTTTTCATATAAGTGGACTCTACCAGTATACCTGGACTGCTGCCATTAAATACCCAGAGTTAGACAGTCAGTGAGAGAGGATATACAGAGAGAGAGAGAGAGAGAGAGAGAGAGAATATACGAACGGAGATAGTGTGAGGTAACCTCGTGTAGAAGTCAGTTACAAGCACATAGACTCTAAGGAAGTCCTACTTCAAGACTGTATATATCCATCTGTATTTGCTACTAACCGCGTTCCTGGACTTACTAACAGTATTACTCTTTGTATGATTGTGTAAATACATTTTATTTCTTATATTTAATTATTGCGTTTGTCATTCCTTGGAGACTGAATTCATCTCGGAATCCACAAAAGTTAGTTTCCTCTTGATCACCAAAGCCCACTGGCCTAGTGGTATGATGCTTGCATTGTATTGTAACATTTTAATAGTAAAATGACCAGCAATACATTTTTATAGTAAAATGATAATCAATATATTGTTATAGTAAAATGACAATCAATACATTCTTATAGTAAAATGATCAGCAATATACTTTTATAGTAAAATGACAATCAATACATTTTTATAGTAAAATTGAAAACATGATACACATTATCAAAAAAAAAAAAAAAAAAAACAATTTGTCATGATTGATCTTTGTTTCTTTACAGAGAAATAAGTTTTCACTACTTGTTTGATTTTGTAAGATTATTTTGAAAAAAAAAATGCGGCTAAGTAATTATAATTTAGTGATGAATTAATCTCCTTCTCAGGAATTATAAAGTTTGAATTCTCATATTCAGACTTTGGCTTTAAATAAGCCATAGAGGTGTTGATATGCCTCTAAACAAAAACAACCAAAACAAACATATAGATTATAATATTCTGAAACATTGTGTTGGATTTAAGAAAGATTTCAGCTTTTTTAATTATGGGAATAAAAAAGTCCAAAGAAAGCTAACAGAAGACAAAGGAAATAGAAAGCAATTCATTAACAGCCTGATATCACTTATATATATATATATATATATATATATATATATATATATATATATATATATATATATATGTATGTAGTAATGAGATATTTGCTTATTTGCTTGAGTAAGGCTTCCTATTACAGGAAAATAATTTCTTAATAAGATGAGGAGATCAGGTTTCATGCATGGTAAATATACAATTATAATATAAAAGTATTAAACTCCAAGGTTATTTTCCTTATTTCTTCTGATCAATCATTCTAAAATTGATTTGATGACATTTATTTACTCAACTAGCAGGGCTACCCAGTGTTGCCCAAGTATTATGTCAAAATAACACTAGTAATGCATGAAATATTTTATACTCACTTCAAGATAGCGCTAGTTGTGGTAATAAAAAAAAAATAAACAAAAATCACATAATAATTGATGCATTCTTTTTGATGTGGTCTCACTCATTTTAACCATCATACATGATGTTATTTTCCAACTTTCAGCCCTGTATAAAATGCCAGGATGTAGCCAGCGTAATCTTATCTACCCCACAGGCAGCACGTGGTTCTTGATAATGATAGATTTTTTTTTTTAAGCATTTCACCCCAAGCAAGGCAGGAGTGCCACTAGCAAGCAAGAAGTAACAGAGGGTGAGAGCAAAAGTAAAAGGGGGGGGTGTTTGAGGAAAGAATATAGAGAAGGACGGGGAACAAGATCATCAGAAGATGTCAATTGACACTACATTTGAATATTTGAAGATTATAGCTATCATGGAAGCAACAGTTTAATTTTGAACTGAACTGCTAGTCTAGCCCTCCCACCAAATGATTTCATTATAGACGTGAAGGCTTGAGTAGAACCAGTTAGACATTTCAGAAGGACTGATAAAAGAGAAATAGTGCACAGTGTGTGCAATGAAGTCAACAGCCTTCTCCAGGTTTGAATTTTCTTTCTTTTTTCTAGTCTGGCTGATACCCAAGGCCCTGCTATTTAGCCCATAGATGGAGGAAGATGGATTTGTGCTTTTTCTGAGGGTATGTTATAACATGCATATGGTAGCATGGAAAAAGAGGAAAGAAAAATTGTGAATATGAAATTCTTTTGTGTTTGTCAATAAAGTGGATGCTAACAGATTGGCTCTAGGTCAGTGAGGTGTAGAAGCTTTGAAGGAAGGGTAGTGTTGGTAAGGCCGGGAATTGAAGTATGTTGACTGAGTTCATGGTGATAATGTTGAGGGAGGCCTGGAGTGGATTAGTAAAGCTGTGAATGTGACTTCTATAAAGGATTCAAACAGAAAGCCTGTATGTGAGCATGGTGCGGAAGTTTGGTGGAAGGTTTGTCTCAAGCAGATATGTATGTCAGGTTGGCTGATCAAAGTCATGGCGGTGACATTGAGAGTTGCATTTTGAGATGAGTTCTGATCATTTATTTAGTAGTAACATAGACAATGAACTCTTATTATTTATTTAGTAGCAACACAGAACAACACAAACTACTAAGTAAATGATCAGAACTCACCTCAAAATGCAGATGCGCAAACAAATTTTTACATTACTTAAAAATCAAAAAGCTAAAAATGAGCAAGAATAAGCAAATAAATAAATAAAAATGAAAATAAAATAAATAAACAAAAATAAGTAAAATAAATTAATCCAAACCAATAAATAAGTAAATAAATTAAGTAAATAATAAGCAATTTAACAAATCATGAATGCAAACATAAACACAAGTAAATTTAACAATGGCAACCAACAATAAAATAATCAATAATAAATAAAAAAGTTAACAACACTATAAATAGCCAACAATCTGCATTTGGATCCACAATTATTTCCATTCAATAGCCTCTAGAATAATTCAAAACATAACCATTACCACCCACTAAAATAACCATTAGAATAATACAATAGGCTACCCACAGCACAATAGACTACTCACAATGCATCACTGGCTTGTATATATAAATACTCAAGCAAAAACATAACGCATATGGCCTGACAATTGTGTTTAAGCATGAAACATACTGCTGCCTCTGGGTGTTCAATGTCCCTCTTTTATATATATATATATATATATATAATTGTAGCTTCTCTGTGTGTTTTCTATACATATTTTCATGGTAATTGTTATGATGAGATTTTCTCTTTGGGATCTAGACTTTACAAATTTAAGTGTACTATTAGATTGGTGGCAATGTCTCATCATATTCCATTTAAAATGGCAAGATGTAACCATAATTTCTATGCTAATAGTTTCTACTCTCATACTTCCTGCTTGTGGAACTCTCTTTTCTGGCTTCTTGCTTTCCAGTCAAGTTTGACCTTGAGAAATTTAAATGCCATGTCAATCATTACCTTGTGTCTTCTTAATCCATATATATATATATATATATATATATATATATATATATATATATATATATATTATTACTTTAAACTTTATTTTGTATTTGTGTAGATGCTCCATTTTTTAAACAGTGTTCATTTTGTCTACTGACCTGCATGCTTGAGAAAACTTAAAGAAAACGTGCTCTTCAGCATGATTTGAACATGTGATCCCCTTTGCAGGAGAACCCACCATCATATCCACTGTGCTTTGACCACTTGGCTATATCACAGTTAAGCAAAAATTCAATTTGCCATAATTAATGCTTGTTCAAATTTTTCTTGAAGGCCATATTTGCAAGGCAAATAGAATCTTGCATGACTATGAAGCTCTCTGTAGCTGAGCAGTCAAAGTATGCTGGATCAGATGGTGATTTCTCCTGCAAAAAGAAATGCAATTTCAAATCTTTATTAAGTTTAACATTTACTTAAATACGGGTAACAACTAAAAAAATTTGAAGTTATATATATATATATATATATATATATATATATATATATATATATATATATATATATATATATATATATATATATATATATATATATATACAAAAGAAAATTTGTCTCTCAGCTAATGGATGGTATATTCAGCACCTTTTCTGTAATTGCTTGGCTCATTTGTCAGGTTTCAGCAATTATATATATATACATATATATATATATATATATATATATATATATATATATATATATATATCAAATATGTGGTGCAGTTCAATTTATATTACAATGAATCATTCATACAAAAAGTAGATTAGTAAAGTTAATGATATAAAATGGCAAAATCTCTTTGCAAACCAAAATTTTAAAGTTGCATTAACCTACGAATCACTCGATGAATGTTATGATCCTTGTTTTTAATAACTACAAGCTGCATAAGGTCTTTTTTTAATCTGCTAGTACTTTCAACTGTACATACAGTCATCCTCAAGCATGGAAATTATTTTGTTTTTTAGTAAATCCAGGTAGCATTAGATTCATTGTAATATATATATATATATATATATATATATATATATATATATATATATATATATATATATATATATGCATGATACTCTGAATCTTACTGCAGGTGAGAAAAATATGTATATTTGTTAATATATAATTTATAGTTTGTTATATTACATTGAGCAGTATTTTATTAACACCAGCATTCAATGTGTGATATTGTATAATATTATATATATATATATATGTATGTATGTATGTGTGTGTGCCTATTTATATATGTGTGTTTGTGTTTATGTGTGTGTTTTTATATATATATATATATATATATATTCAAAACTTTTTCAGGGGTACACAAATATTGCTTAAAAATTATAAAAGGTTTAAATCATATGAAGGCTACATCTTTACACAAAATTCCTAATATGTACCTGATACTTTTACAGGTATAAACATGAATTTATCTGTTTGCTTGGGTTTTCTCGGTTATTTTTTGGTATAAGCCAGCCACAAAGATAGAGAATGCAGGAAGGAGTCAATGATTTGGATTTTGTTCAATATTTTTTATAACTTATAACTCCTTTTTATGGCTGAGTTGATCTAAAGCATTTTGAATTCAATGATAGTTTTTCCTGCTAAGGGAGAGTGAGCAAGTTTTAATCCTGCCAAAGGACACATCTTTTCTTAAATAAGATTTCTCAAGTATTCAGGCCGGTAGATGAAAAAAAATAAATATAATGTTTAATAAATAAACAGAGTGTCTACTTAAATATGGGTATTTTTTAAAATAATATTTAAGTAATATATATATATATATATATATATATATATATATATATATATATATATATATATATATATATGTGTGTGTGTGTGTGTGTGTGTGTTGTTAGGCTTAGTTTGTTCAGATCTGTCTTTGTTTTTATCTCTGCCTCTTTCTATACATATAAACATATCTATGTATGTATAAATCTATTTATCCCTCTCTCTATCTCAGGCTGTTCTTTATCTATCTATATATCTATCTATCTCAGTATGTCATATATCTATCTATCTCAGGCTGTTATCTATCTATCTCAAGCTGTTCTTTATCTATCTATATATCTATCTATCTCAGTATGTCATATATCTATCTATCTCAGGCTGTTATCTATTTATCTCAAGCTGTTCTTTATCTATCTATATATCTATCTATCTCAGTATGTCATATATCTATCTATCTCAGGCTGTTATCTATTTATCTCAAGCTGTTCTTTATCTATCTATATATCTATCTATCTCAGTATGTCATATATCTATCTATCTCAGGCTGTTATCTATCTATCTCAAGCTGTTCTTTATCTATCTATATATCTATCTATCTCAGTATGTCATATATCTATCTATCTCAGGCTGTTATCTATCTATCTCAAGCTGTTCTTTATCTATCTATATATCTATCTATCTCAGTATGTCATATATCTATCTATCTCAGGCTGTTATCTATTTATCTCAAGCTGTTCTTTATCTATCTATCTATCTATCTATCTATCTATCTATCTCAGTCTGTTATCCATCTTTCTCAGCCTGTTCTTTATCTATTTATCTGTCTCAGTCTGTTATCTATCTATCTATCTCAGTCTGTTATCTAATCTATCCCAGGCTGTTCTTTATCTATCTATCTATCTATCTATCTATCTATCTATCTATCTATCTCAGTCTGTTATCTAATCTATCCCAGGCTGTTTTTTATCTATCTATCTATCTATCTATCTATCTATCTCTGTCTATTCACATCTATGTAAATCTCTCTATTGAAATAATCCAACTGGAGAACGCACGTACATGTATGCGAACTACTCACAGGTGCTGATAAGAATACTTGATGTTTGCTTTTTTTTGTTTTTAATGTTATTCATTTGTCTGAGATGAAGTGGAGATGGAGGAAGGATGATGGTGGTGGAGTAGTGGTGATGGTGGTGATAGCAAGTAGAGAATTGGGTGTTGGCAGTGGTGTGCATGTGTTGTGGGTGGGATAGAATTCGTGTTCAGTTGGTCTGGGGGTGGAGTGGAGGATGAGAAGGTGGTGAGGAGTGCGGTGGTGGTAGGGTCGGTGGTGGCTGTAGTCAGTTGCATTTCTTCAGTCAGTGCCTGCAGCATGCCAAGAGGGAGACGCACGTGCAGCTCTGTCTAATGGATGGCATCGTCATGTTTGAGACAATGTGCTTTGTCACAGACACCAACAACATCGACAACGGAGATGAGGACGATGACGACAGCAACGGCAAAACAGGTGATGAAGACGACGGAACAGGTGATGAAAGCCAGGACAGAAAGGGAGGTGAAGAGAGTGATGATGATGATGATGATGATGAACTTGAAGAGGACTGGGTAGATGAGGATGACGAGAGTGATGAAGATGTAGGAGAGGGCCGGGAAAGTGGAACAGATGAAAGGGAATGTACTGGTGGAAGAAGAAGAAGAAGAAGAAGACAAAACAATAACAGGAATAATAATGCCGACCATAAGAATAAAGATGACAACAATGACAAGAGCAAGAACATGGAGGAGGAGGAGGAGGAGGAGGAGGAGGAGGAGGAAGAAGAAACAAGGTTGGTGTTTTACTTTTAAAAAGTTGAGAAATAAAAAAGAAAGTTGATGAGAAAAATTTGTTTAATGGTTCCTTATAGTGTAGGTATATATACATACATACATTGTGTGTGTGTGTGAGTTTGAGAGGGGGAGAGTTATAGAGAGATTAATATTTCTTCATGTCTTCCTTATAGAGTAAATAGAAATCAATGCTTAAATCCATATGTCAATCAATCAATCACAATGAATTTTCAATAATCCTTGGAAGTATTACTTTTTTCATATCTATGTCTATTTTGATCTATCTATCAATTTATCTATGTCTGTTTTTGTCTATCCATGTCTGTTTCTATCTATCTATCTATCTATCTACTCATATATTGTCTATCTATCTATCTGTTCATATATATTTCTCACTCCGTTAAATATCTATCTATCTTTCTATCTATCTATCTATGTATCTCACCATGTTCTATCTATCTGTTCATATCTATTTTTCTGTCTCACTCTGTTCATACCTATGTTTGTCTATCTATCTATCTATCTGTTTCTATTTATTCATCTATGTCTGTTTCAATCTATCTATATCTGCCTGTATCTATCTATCACTGTCTGTTTCTGTCTGTCTCTATCTATCTATCTATCTATCTATCTATCTATCTATCTATCTATCTATCTATGCCTGTTTCAATCTGTCTGTTTCTATCTGTCTGTCTGCTTATATCTATCTATCTATCTATCTATCTATCTATCTATCTATGTCAGTTTCTTTGTTTCTATCTATTTATCTATGTCGGTTTCTTTCTTTCTTTCTTTCTTTCTGTCTATCTCTGTTTGTCTATGTCTGTTTCTATCTATCTATCTATCTATCTATCTATCTATCTATCTATCTGTTTCTCTCTATTTATCTATGTCTGTTTCTTTCTTTCTTTCTATCTATCTATCTATGTCTGTTTCAATGTATCTATTTACCTATCTATGTCTGTCTGTTTCTATCTATCTATGCTTATCTGTCTCTGTATCTATCTATAAATCTCTCTCTCTCAATCTGTCCCTATCTATTTATCTTAATCTGTTCCTATCTTTCTATCTATCTGTTATCATCTATCAATGTACTGATGGTGTAATGGAACAATAAATCAGAGAGATGAGTTGAAATTCTAGTCAGCTTCATTACAGTCACTTGTACACAAATACCATTGCTAAAGGTATGAATCCATAGTCACCCCCAGCTGTGGGTTAAACAGTAAGAGTTTTGTTTGGAAAAATCACTGTTATTCTCAAAACGTTGTTAATGCTATATTCATTCACAATAAAAGATTTGTTCTTACAATCCAAAATATGTCTTGGCTTTAAATAAGACACAAAGGGTCGATAAGCTGTAAAAATAAAAATAAAAACAAATCAATCAATCTTATCTATGTTAGTCTCTTTTTATCTATCTCAGTTTGTTTATATCTATCTATCTATCTCATTTTGTTTATATTTATTAATTTATTTATCTATATATTTCAGTTTGTTCATATCTATTTTTCTGTATATCTATGGCAGTTTATTCATATTTATCTTTCTATCTATTTGTCTGTTCATATCTATTTCAGTTTGTTCATATATATCTATTTTTCTATCTATGGCAGTTTATTCATATCTATCTATCTATCTTTGTTCATATCTATTTATTTATCTCTCTCTGTACCTCTCTAATTCTTACAGTTGGTTCTGATTTATCTCAGATCGGTTTAGCATCACTTGGAACACTGAATCAACATAATCTTCCTTTTTTTCCCACATTGGCTTTTTGTCAGACCAACTTGAGCTAAATAAAAGTAACACTGTATATCTTACTTAAGTTCGTCTGACAAAATGGCCAGAAGTAGAAGCTGAAATGTTTTAAATGAAGTTTAAATTTATTTAATCCAAATTTGCATTTTGTGAATATAAAGAAAAAAATTTAATTCAAATTTTATCAAGACATTCCTTGCCAACAGTTTTTCATTACATACACACACATGATTGTAAGGAGGTGCTGAAAAGTTTGTAGCCTGATACTGATCAGTTTTCAGCACTCTCCCATGAGGATCAAATTGAGCCACATTATCTGTATCTGTAAATGTTCTATTTCTGATATTGGACACTTGCACTCTGTATATAATGAATTTTAAACTATATATATATGTATAATGAATTTTAAACTATATATATATATATATATATATATATATATATATATATATATATATATATGTATCCAAATGAAAGAAGAATGAATCAAATATAAATTCCAATGTTCATAACATTAATTTAAAAGAGGGCTCAATATGAAATTAGAGTTGTATAAATAAAAAGAGTATATATATATATATATATATATATATATATATATATAAATGAAGAGAAAGAACAAACAGATTTAGAATCCACAAATTTCTGTGTCACAATGTAAAATATATGCATAAAATATGTCTCATTTTAATATATATACAGGGTGCGATGGATAAATTGTCATCTAAATTACACAAAACTGAAAATAACACTAACATCTCATTTTAATAGATGTATTTACCAAAATTATGCAAAAATATCTTCAAATACTAAAGTGTAAATTTATTCAATAAAATTGTCATTGGCTTCAAGCACAGCTTACAGACAACTTCAGAATATCCTGCAACTCTTCTGGACAGTTAGTGAATGCTGCCATAATTCTTGCCTTTAGTTCATCTTCGGTGCTACTAGGAGTTTTCTTGGTCCCTCGCTCAACTGCGCCCCATGTATAATAATCAAGGGTGTTGCAATCTAGAGATTTAGCTGGCCAGATGTAAGGGGTGATGTGGTTGCAGAAATTGTCTGACAGCCATGACTGGGTCACCTGCTTATGTGACATGGTTCAGAGTCCTGTTGCCAGATATAGGGTCTTCTAGCAGCCACCATCTTGAACAAGGGTAGCACTACCTCCTCAAGACACTTGATGTAGGCCTCTGTGTTGAGTCTGAGGCCCTATGGATAGATGAATGGAGGTATAACATCACCATCACTAGTGATTACACCAAACACCTTTGTAATCACCATTAGACTCATCCAACTCTTTCCGAAACCTCTGTACTGTCCTCAGATTGACACCCAAACATTCTGAAATGTTTGTATTGGAGCTATCAGCATGAATGCTGAGCAGTACAGCATGCAGTTTCCAAATTTCTGGTGAAGTGAATTGCATCAGGGTGCTCTTTTTCTCACAGATGATGCCCAACTGACCCTACAGTGTACTGTGCAGTTGACAAAATCAAAAACAATCCACATTTGCAAAATTAAAAAAATATAAAATTGCGACAATTTACACATCGCACCCTGTATACATATTTTTTTTTATTAGTTTAAACATTATTTTTAGTGGATATCCATATTTGAGTAGATGCTCCATTTTGTAAATAGTGTTTATTTTGTCTAAAATACCTGTGCATGAAAATATGCCCTTCAGCCAGATTTGAACCTGCACCCCCTTTGCAGGAGAAATCATGATCTGATTTGGTGTATTCACTAAAATAACACTTGAAGTAATAAAAATATGCTGGTTATAAACATAAATTCATTAAATCTTTTAGAAATTGCATATAATTTATTTTAGCATATTACACCAGTGTAATATCCTAAAATAAATAATATTGCTCTACTCTGTATTGAGCACTCTTTTAACTTAAATGTTATGAACATTGGAATTGTATTCTATTTCGTTCTCATCATACCTTGAGGTATATATATATATATATGGTACAGGTAATAGATCCATTGGTATATAATCCAGGTCGATCCTAGTAAGATCAGATATTAAAACTGATCCACAGAGAGAGCTCAGTGTATTTATTATAACAGAGCATATATTTTTATAAAACAAAAAATCCAAAATTACCTCATGTGGATATAGTCTATTTCAGACCAATACAACTATATACCAGTCCTTCTCAACCCTAGACTGACTGTCTCGGAATAGGGGCTCTGAATTTAGTCCAGATAGCAGTCAGTGAGAAAGTATGAGGCTACTTAAGAGGATGTCTCGTTTTGATGAGGAGTCTGGGTTGATGACAAAGAGATGGGCCGGAGTAGGATTTTATTTATGGCCAAGGCCTTTAGTTGTATGTAAATGAATTTAGGTTCCTGCTATATTATTAAGTTGGGGGGGGGATTTAAAGACAAAACAATTTAAAGTTAGAATAAATTATCTAAATAATAGGGGGGAGGGGGGCTGTTGTTTTTTGGTAGTTAGTAAGTAATAACGTAATATCTATATTCTTATAGTTTGAACCTGCTTCTATGTCTACATTTTAACTCTAGCTCTTTCCTTTGATTTAATAGTTTGCATTGATCATTGTATTTTGTTATTCTATTTTTTTCCTCTAAACATAGCCTGCATCTATCTCTAAAACTATTAGGAGCATGTGTGAAACCTATAGTTTTCCGATCTATCTGAGGGTTCAAACTCTTTTCCTTCAATTCCCCAAATTTTTTGAAAGGGCAGTTTGGTATTTTAATTTAGGATTGGTAAATGAGTGCCTATGGGTATAAATTCTCTGTTTCAATTCTCCTGCGGAAATTCCAATGTAAACATTATAATTTGTAATATTTTGTTTAGGGGTAATGGTTGCCTGGTATATTACTCTAGCAGATCTGCATTTGCCCTCGACTGGACAGTTTTTCCTATATCTACAGTTACAGGGGGTTTCTGTACTAGATTTTTTTTTTCCCATAGAATTTATTTAAGACATAATTATTATGGGAGTTGATAATTTGGTACAAGTTGTTAGTGCAGGAGTAGCTAATTTTGAACAATTTCCTGTTGAAGATATTACTTAGAGCATTGTTTTTGTGGAAGTGTTTATTTATTAATTTTAGAAAGTGCTGTCTGATATTAATATTTGACAGTTTGCAGAACGAGGTGGGGGTTGAAGCAAATGATTTTTCTTTTTCTATTTCTATACCTACATCCCACTTTAGATGTTCTGGTATTACCTATGGTGGTTAAATAAGATAACTTATTTTTGAAACCACTTTTTGGAGAGCCTTTTCATATGGTTCTTTATTTTTATTAAAGATTTTTTCATTGGACGATAATTTACTAATTCTGATACAAACGGTGATGGGTATTTTTTTCAGTATCGCATTGGGGTGGTTAAAAGTAACATTAATATAATTGGGTGTTTCATTCTCTTTATGGTAGGGATTAAAGGTTTTATCATTAAGGTTGAGGGTGATGTCTAGGTAGTCAACTATTTTAAGGTTAGAAATAATTTCAATCTTAAACCCTAGTAATTTAAAGGCCTTAATGATTTTCTTTTGTAACTTCACTATTAGCACACCATTACTATTGTCTGTCATTACTATATAGTCCCACTAGTTCTGGTTTTAGGATTCTACTAAGCATATCTAAAATATAAAAAACATACTAAATCCACAACCTGGGCTAACTCATACACTCCCAAAATACAGATCCAAATAGCATATATATATATATATATATATATATATATATATATAGTGAACATTGAAGTCAACACTTCGGTGACAGTCTGTTTCTTGCTAGACGCAATTGTCTGGCCAGCATGAAACAGACTGTTGCCTCTAAGTGTTGACTTCAATGTTCACTTTTACACATGCTCTATTTCTGATATTGAGCACTTTATCCAATAAATATAGCACACCTTAAGACTATATATATATATATATATATATATATATATATATATATATATATATATATATATATATATATATATATATATGCTATTTTGTATCTTTTAGGACATTCATTTTTATAGTTAAGTAAACACAACTTTCCACTCATGATATTTTTTTGTAAAGAGACATGGTGAAGTTATGTTTGTTGGCATCAATTAATGTCAAGGAAAAAGAATTTTCTTGCTAATATTGAGTTCATAAGTAAAGTACAGAACAGAGATTTTTTTAAATGTTTCTTTCAGTTTTTTAAATTTCTTCTAAGCTGTTTATTATGAAGATGTTGTTGATGATAATGCATGCATATAGGGTGCCTGATTAAATTATTGAAGACTTTGTTTTCTATATGACATATGTAGAAATTAGATAGAATTGGTCCAAGAGTAGAACTCATTGCTATGTTATCAGTTTGTATATAAATGTCACTATAGTGGTCGTTGAAAGTTTTTGTGTCATGCAGGATAGAAGTTAGTGCAGAATATTTGGTCTAATCTTAGGAGATGGAAATGAATGGTGACTATATATGTTCTGTATGTCTATAGTTTCTTTTGACTAGGACATTAGTGAATAAGTTTTCAATGTCTAGTGAGGCTAGAATGCTGTTATTTTGTTTATTAGACTGTAATATGTTAAGGAATTAACTTGTAAAATGAATGTTATAATTACTGGGTAAGTATTAAATATTTATGCTTAAAGGATGCTATGTTTATGAGGGAAGAGTGGTTGATATCAGAGATAGAGCATTTATATATAAAGATAGTATAGATATTTTTATCAAGACCAAAATTTGGATATTTAGGCATCAAACTGATAGTTTGCCATACAGTTTTGTTTCCAATAACAATACTATTGGTTTCTCTTTTTATCTATCTATATATATATATATATATTCTTCAAATTTTGTAAACTGGCCTATTAAATCTACATATATATATATATATATTAAAAATATACATAATATGTTGCATTAA